GCCAGGAGTGTGGTGAAAAACCCTAGATCACCTTTTTGGATTCTTATTACCCAAGTTACTAAGAATATTACCAGTGGCATACAGGGAGCTTAGCCAATGAGCGGTCAGAAAAGGTGTTTCCTCTGTAGTTCACACCAATCGCTGGCTTGGCCCCCTTGGCCCGGCCGGACGCCTCAGCCAGAGGCGTTGACCCCCATCACCCCCCAATCGCCAGATAGGCCCCTTGCCCAGGCCTGGGCAGGGGACCCCCATCTCCCCCCGATCACCGGCTCTGCCCTTGCCCAGGCCTGGGCAAGGGGCTGATCCTGCAATCGGAAGGTGATGGGGGTCGACGCCTCTAGCCGAGGCATCAGGCCTGGGCAAGGGGCTGATCCTGCAATCGGAAGGTGATGGGGGTCGACGCCTCTAGCCGAGGCATCAGGCCTGGGCAAGGGGCTGATCCTGCAATCGGAAGGTGATGGGGGTCGACGCCTCTAGCCGAGGCATCAGGCCTGGGCAAGGGGCTGATCCTGCAATCGGAAGGTGATGGGGGTCGACGCCTCTAGCCGAGGCATCAGGCCTGGGCAAGGGGCTGATCCTGCAATCGGAAGGTGATGGGGGTCGACGCCTCTAGCCGAGGCATCAGGCCTGGGCAAGGGGCTGATCCTGCAATCGGAAGGTGATGGGGGTCGACGCCTCTAGCCGAGGCATCAGGCCTGGGCAAGGGGCTGATCCTGCAATCGGAAGGTGATGGGGGTCGACGCCTCTAGCCGAGGCATCAGGCCTGGGCAAGGGGCTGATCCTGCAATCGGAAGGTGATGGGGGTCGACGCCTCTAGCCGAGGCATCAGGCCTGGGCAAGGGGCTGATCCTGCAATCGGAAGGTGATGGGGGTCGACGCCTCTAGCCGAGGCATCAGGCCTGGGCAGGGGTCCCCCATCTCCCCCCGATCACCGGCTTCTGGGGCTTCAGGGGCCCGCCTCCTGCCCAGGATGGTGGCTTGCTCTGGCGGCTGCGCTGCCCTGCCCTGCCTGCAGTATGCAAATTAGCCGTCATCTTTGTTGGTGGTTAATTTGCATATCGCGCTGATTAGCCAATGGAAGGCGTAGCAAAGGTACGTCAATTACCATGTTTGTCTATTATTAGATAGGATATATAGTTTGAAAATATTTTCTCCCAATTTTTAGGTTGCCTGTCACTCTGATTATTTCCTTGGCTGTGCTGAAGTTTTTCAGTTTGATGTAGTCCCATTTGTCTCTGTTTGCTTTTGTTCCCTGCACTTTTGGTGTTATATCCAAGAAATCATTGCCAATTCTCGTGTCAGCTTGGCCCCTTTGTTTTATTCTAGGAGTTTTATAGTTTCAGGTCTTTATCCATTTTGAATTAATTTTTGTGTATGGTGTAAGGCAGGGGTCCTCAAACTTTTTAAACAGGGGGCCAGTTCACTGTCCCTCAGACCGCTGGAGGGCCGGACTATAGTTTAAAAAAAAACAAAACTATGAACAAATTCCTATGCACACTGCACATATCTTATTTTGAAGTAAAAAAACAAAACGGGAACAAATACAATATTTGTATTTGCATGTGGCCCGCGGGCCGTAGTTTGAGGACCCCTGGTGTAAGGTCAGGGTCTGTTTTTTATACGAACTTTCAACCAGTCCCCCTCTCTTCTCAGCTCCTGACCCTCTCCTTCCAGGCACCAGGAGCTCCATTTCCTGAGCTTTTCCTCAGCTGGCTTTTGTTTGCTTCTCAGGCAGTGAGCTTCCAGCCTGCTTTGCTCACCTCAGCTCAGTAGTCATCTCTGCTTTCAGCTTCCAAAATGCCATTATTGTCTGTTGTCTGCTCTAAAATATTTTTTTGTCCTTCTGGATTTATAAAAAGCCCTATTCCATTGGCTACCTACAATCCTCAAATCCATTTAAATTATATTTAAAAGGCTTTTAAAAATGTTATCTCATATTTTCTATTGTTAGGTCCTACCTCCAAAAATAATTGTTCAGTCTATCCCTTTGCTTCCTTTAGTTAAGCAGTTTCTGTTAAGTGACATATGTTACTTTCCCAAACATCATTTCATTATTCAAAATAAACTGAGATTTTTGTTTTTAATATGAGACTTAGTGACACTCTGTTTCCTGAGATACTGTTTTGGAGGGAGCCCCTTGCTTTATCTTTAGGTGTATACACTATGTGTTGGTATTATCAGATGATGTCCTTTTATCTAAATCCATTTTACTCTTAAGCTGTAATTGAATACTTGTAAACTAATAAAATGTCAAGAGAGTCCTATGTTCTTTTTAGTTACTTGTGACAGTGGCTTTCTTTGTGATTGTATTGATTATTTACAGCAGGGGTGGGAACCTTTTTCTGTCAAGGGCCATTTGGGTATTTATAATATCATTCACAGGCCATACAAAATTATCAACTTAAAAATTAGCCTGTTATAGTTGGTTAAACGTTTAATTAACTCACCCCTAATGCCTTGGAGGGCCAGACCAAATGCTTTTGTGGGCCTTATTCAGCCAGCTGGCCGGACGTTTCCCACCCCTAATTTACAGGGTAATACTATTTCTGACCGATAGGATAAAGAATTATTAAATGAGGGGTTGCTAGGTCCTTAGGGACTATCAAGAATGATTTTTTGCTTTTTTGTTTTGTTTTGTTGTTGTCCCAAGAATCATTTTCTCTTAGGACTGTTAGTTGGCTCAAGATATCAGCTATTCAGTTTGGCACATGGAAGTCCCTACGATTTTTATCCTGGGGTCTAGGGATAGGCTTCAAAGAGTTCAAGATCCTCCTGAAATGGAGTGGTAGTAGAATAGGCTTAGCTTTTGTTAGGTACTCAGTGATGCATGGCTTATCTGATCCTGAACAGGATCGAGAACTCACCTCTAATAGATTATTCTAGAGTAAAAAATAGAATGTTACTGTCTACATTAAACATGATAAAAAATAAAATGCTACCTTGCTAGCTACTATTGGATTCCACATTCTTTCACATGTAAGTACAAGTAACTATAAATGAGGGACTAAATGAACAATTACCTCTTTATTCTTTGCCACATGCAAAATATTATCTCTAGCTTCCTGGTTATGCAACATGTAACTATAAAAGGTATCATTAATGAGGATACTGTTTGGGTCTTAGAGAAATGACCATCTTTTTTGTCAACTTGTAAAGAAGGTATCTTAGTAGTTACCCTTGGTTTTCATATTGAAGATGCTGTACTTAATTTGTGAAAATCAGTTACTTGTTAACAATTAGTAGGTAAATATATAAAACAAGCACCTCTGTGATAGAGGGTTATGGACTTTAGTTTTTAATTAAGAAAAGGTGGGTAAGATTTATGTTATGTATATTTTAGAACAACAAAAAATCGGGAGGGAGGGAGGGAGGGAGGAAGGAAGACACATGGGGGTGGGAGGTGGGGAAGGTCAACTGAGAATTTTTTGTTTCTAATCTAATACTTTAATGTATTGTGAGATCTACTGGATTTATAAGGTCTCTTTCAACTTTAGAATTTTATGATTCCGTTTTTGAAGTGGTTAAGCTTAAATTGCTCTTTTCTTCTAGGTACACCATTGAGTTCTTTGGGAGGCACAAAAGTGTCTGGTTGGGAAGCTTATGAAATAGAAGACAAGACCCTGCCTCAGGAAGCGTACATGAGAATAATTTTAAAGGAAACTATCGATAAATGCAGAACAGTGGCTGTTGGAGGTATGTAATAACTTAGAGCTCGGATTGAATGTAGTGTGACCCACTCTGCTGTACTAAGTCAAGTCCACCCTTCTCTGGGCATTACCCCACCCTGTGGTCTCAAATACACTAGTGGCTATTGTTCTCTCAACTTGACTGCGTAGTGAGATGTGACTCTTAACGCTTCCTTGAGCAGCTCTGACTCAGCCCGTTTCGAGTCCTTCCTATGCCTGAAAGACAATAAAGGTGATAGAGGCAACATTGGACTCTGAGCAGATGAAGTGATAACAGGTTTCTGGCCAGGACCTCACTGCCTTCTTTTCTGGGAATGGGTAGTCCATATCAAAGCTCAGCGAATGCGTGCCAGCTGTTATTCTGAAATCAGCTGTTATTTATTGGCTTTACTCTTACCTTGGAGGATGTCAAGGCATATCTGGTTGGGTGCTTGCTGTATTGGCTTGACTGATTTCCTATTAGTCATAAGCTTTGACCTGTTTGTCTCCTTGACCCCTTCACCCCACTCCCCCACGTGTCAGTTACATGCAGTGGTTCTCAACCTTGGCTGCACATTAGAATCACCTGGGAATCTTTTTAAAATCCTGATTTCTGGGCTTCATCACCCGGAAATTCTGTTTCTTTGTTATGGGGTGGGGCCACAACATTAGTAACAAAGAAACAGAATTTCCGGAGGATGAGGCCAAGAAATCAGGATTTAAAAAAGATTCCCAGGTGATTCTAATGTGCAGCCAAGGTTGAGAACCACTGGTTACATGGTTACTTCATTTTATTGCTTTATAGCCTTTAATTTTTTTTTTTAAATCCTCAACTGAGGATATATTTCTATTGATTTTTTAGAGAGAGAGGAAGAATGAGAGTGAGAGAGAAACATAGATTGGTTGCCTCCTGTATGCACCCTTACTGTGGATCAAACCTGCAACCTGTTGGTGTACAACCTTTTAGTGTATGGATGATGTTCAATGAACTGTGCCACCTGGTCAGGGCTAGCCTTTAATTTTTATCTCCTCAATAACTTATATCATCAAGGTCATGGTCACCCATTATTTCATATGCTGTGACCTTCAGTGGATGTCTGGCTTTTGATGCACTGGCTCTTTTTTTATGAAACAGTTACTGTTTCATAATTATACTGAGAGTATATTATTGGTATGAGACCTTATTAAAATATGCCCTTTTTAAAAACATATTTCTATGTGTGTATATATATATATATATATATATATATATATACACATCTCTTTACTATTTTGGCAACATTTTAAAGTCCGAAATGATTTCAAAATAAACACAAAAATTCACACACAAAAACTAAATTGATTTGACTTTTCTTCAATGACTTGGTTAATTAATTACTTGCCTAATATTTGACTAAGTCATATAATTTTACCCTTCTAAGTAAGATTTGATTTCTGAATAACTCCCTCATTATGAGGAGGTTATTTGTTATATTTTTTATTATGTGCTATCTGCTATGGGTCCATATGATGATGTCCTGAGAGATTCTGATGTACTTTGGTCCTTTAATTCAGTGTTATTTCATTTGATTCTGAATTAGTGGGATATAGTGAAAAGAGTTGCAATAAGTAGAGTATGCCAGTGATGCAAAAAGAAATCAGACTCAAGAAGAAGTATGTAACATGTACCTGTGCCACTCAGTAACTTAAATGAATCACATACTGTTGTCAACTTTTTTCTGTTGTTTCCTGAGAATCCCACATTAGATTAGTTTTGCGGAGGAGGACCTGCTGTGCTATCTGGGCTACTGATTTACCCCACAGAGCCCTTCCTGGCCCATCCCTCAGTCTGCATTGCTATATTAGAACACAGTTTCCTGGCAACAGCAGTATATCTGGCATGACTTAAACTAATGGACAGGTTTTTTTTTTAGCATATTTGATGATGCTAAGCAAGTGGAATAAATGTCAATATAGATTGGTAGATGAAGATTTTGAAAATTTGTAGTGTATTTAGTGCATGGAAGGGACCAGAAACATAATATGGTAAGTATGCTGGCTGGATTAATGGCACAGTTTGTCAGCTGCACACTTACATAAGACCATATTATGATTAGAAAAATTTTTAAATTTATATTTGAAGGGCTTGGGGTTTATTTATTATGATTTTTTTTTGAGTAGCTGTGTTTGGAAATTTTAATTTTGTAAACTATGTTAGCATAACATAGCTGCACAGTTAGCCTTGAAAATGGCTGTTTGTTTTTAAAATATTGTGCTGTTTACTTTGACTTGGCATTGGTGGGAATAGTTTCTAAGGAAAATAGTTTGTAACCCATGTTATAAATAATTTTCAGGTTTTTAAATTATTTATTTCAAAGCATTCACTCTTTATTATTTTGGGCTCAGAATTTGAGAACAGACTTTCCCTAGTATTTTCTTTTTATCATCACAGTTGTATTTTTCATGCAGTGTGTGCATTTCTGAAACTAATACCTATGATATTTTTAATAAATTGAATAAATTTAGGTTGACAAAGAAAGTTCACTAATTTTAAAAGATCCTTAATAAATCCTTTATAGTGAAGATCTGTGGGAGTGATAGGGGCTGGGAGGAGGGGGCAAAGAGGGGGGGATGGGAGATATCTGTAATACTATCAACAATAAAAAATATTTTTAAAAAAGAAATCCTTTAGTAAAATGAAGAAAGCTTCCTTAATTTTGATAAGTCTTTTTCTCTGTTTTATTCAGGGGTTTTTAATATTGGGCAGTCTTTTGATAATTACTTTATATCGCTTCACTTAATAGTGTTTTTAGATTCATACTTGTGGTTAACATGTATCAATAGATTGTTTATGTTGCTGAGTAGTATTCCATTGTATGAATTCATCTATTTACCTAATGATGGACATTTGAGTGGGTTATAATTTTTATCTATTATGAATATAACTTCTGTGAACATTATTGTACAAGTCTCTTTGTGGAATATGTTTTCATTTATTTTAGACTAGAGGCCCAGTGCATGGAATTCGTGCACAGGTAGGGTCCCTAGTGGGACCAGCTTGGGGGAGGGGCCGCAGGTGGTTGGCTGGCTGGCCCTGCCCCCTGGTCAAACTCCCGGTCAAGGGGACAAGTTGCATATTAGGCTTTTATTATATAGGATGTACACTTAGAAGTGCATCACTAAAGGGGTTATATAATTAAACATGCTTATCAGCAATGTATGCCTTGCTCCAATATGCTCCAACCATTTGACAATAATTGCTATTGTCAGTCTTTTCACTATCAGCATTCTAGTGGGTATAATGTGGTGTCTTGTGACTGCCTGTGATTTCCTTGATGATAATGATGTTGGACATTTTTTTCATGTATGTACTTATTGGCTTTTCTTATAAAGTATCTAGCTAAGTCTTTTGCTGTTTTAAAAATTGGGCTGTGTGACTTTTTTATTCTTGACTTTTTATGCTTTTTAATTCTTGAACTATAGTACATAGTTCTTTATGTATTCTAGGAAGAAGTCCTTTGTCAGATATATGTTATGAATATTTTGCAGTTGGTGGTTACCTTTTTATTTTCTTAACTGTATCTTTAAAAGGCAGAAGTTTTTATTTTGATGAAGTCTGATTTATTAGTTTTTTCCTCTTATTCATATGCTTTGCCTACTTCATGGTCACAAAGACATTCTATAATTTTCCTGCTTTATAGTTTTAGTTTTTACGGTTAGTTCTCTGTGAAATCAGGATTTATTCTTCTTTCCATATGGATATCTATTTGTTCCTGCCCAATTTGTTGAAAAAGACTATCCTTATTCCCACTGAATTATTTTGGCACCTTGGTAAAAAATCATCAGTTGACCATATATGCTTATGTCTATTTCTGGTCTCTGTTCTGCTTCATTGTTCTATTCATGTGCCCTTAACACCAGTACTGCATTTTGTTGAGGATTTTTGCATAGATGTGTTCTAAGTGATATAGGTTTGTAGTGTTCTTCTATTGTCCTTGTCTGTTGTTGTTGTTTTTTACATTCTTTGTTGTTTAAAGTATTACATAAGTCTCCTTTTCCCTCCATTGACCTCTCCCCAGCCGCCCCCACTCCTCAGCACATGCCCTCACTCCCCTATTGTCCCCTATATATTGTCCATTGGTTATGCTCATATGCATACATACAAGTCCTTTGGTTGATCTCTTACCCCCTCACCCCCTATCTTCCCTCATAGGTTGGGCAGTCTGTTCGATGCTTCTATGTTTGTCTGGTTTTTGTATTGAGTTCATGTTGGTGTATTCTGTTCCATCTGTTTATCTATCTGTGTCTTTGTATTTAAAATGCATCTGTTGTAGGTAGTATGTGGTTGGGTACTGCTTTTTTATGTATTCTGAGTCTCTGCCTTTTAATTGCAATGTTTAGTGTATTTACTATAATTATTGATATGGTCAATGTTTAGTCTATTTACTATAATTATCGATATGGTTAGTTTTACCATTTTATTGTTTCCTAAATGTCCCATCCTTGAAGCACTTTTGAATCTTTTATCTTCTTTTCTCCCTTCTCTTCGTTTAATTGAATATATTTCAGTATCACATTTTAATTTCTGTGTCAAGTTTTCAATTATACCTCTTAACCACTTTGCATTATTGTTTTTGTAGTTTCTCTGCAGAATTCAATATTCATCCTTAATAGAAAGTTTTTTTTGAATTAATATTTTATTTCATTATATAAAAATATGAAATCTATAATATGATTACAACTGACACTCCCCCCAACCATTGCACTGTTGTCTTCATGTATTTTATATCTGTATGTTACAAACTCTACAATACAGTATTATACTTTTAATGTAGCATATATAAAGTATGTGTGTATACATATAGAATACTTGATAAAGTAGATCTAGTAACTGTATCTTAAAGAAATTAAGAGAAATCTTTCATGTTTACCTGCACATTTACTATTTCCAACATTCTTCATTCTTTTCTGTAGATTAAAACTTCCATCTGGTATTACTTCTTTCCAACTTACAGAGCTTTCTTTAGCATTCATTGCAGTGTAGGTCTA